TAATAACAGTTAATTACCTTTTTACTCCCTGATCATGACCCTTCGGCTACCTTTTATGGCCAAAACAGCAAACATACACTACACACTGGTAGCAGATTTCCGGCTTTTCAATGTTAAGCTTGCTTTAACGCACTGAGTAATGAGTACAACCCCTCTATTACTGTTATATGGCATATTTTTCATAAAAAACCCTCTGCAATAGATTGGTAGCATCTGTGACTTCATCTATAGTTGTCGGAAGTCTGGGTCCTTTCGAAATCAGTACCGATATACCCTACTGCTGGGCACTCTGTATTAGTTTGACTCGTTGGTGGAATAGTGTTGTCCATAATACTAAAGAAAATTAAAAAACGCAGATTGTTTCCTTTCATTTTGCCGATAACATCATAAAGGACAGTTAGGAACGAACATGCGAACAGTTAGAGTCACAGGCGGCAGCAACAATTATTCTAGCTAAATAAAAACGAACTTCGGGTTCGGATATCTAGAAAACAAGGTAAAACATAACCGATTGTCGTTTGAAAACGTAAGGTCTTATGTTAGTACTAGCCAGCTTAGCTGAATAAATACATTAACTTCATTAGCAGCAGATAAAACCCAGAAAACAAAGCAAAATCAGGAAAAACTTTGCTCCAACGTTCAGAGTATTACACTAACTTTTGAATTTTAGCACACTGAAACATCAAATTCCGTAGCTACACAAAAGAAATAGCTGAAAGAAGCACAGAACGAAGAAATCCGGCCGCCATTGCTTACGAAGATGGCGGATGTAATAATTCCCGCCTCATTCTGATTGGTTGCTAAGCTGAAGGGCACATTTACGAAATTGAGTTGCGTTTAATTGCAGCCTTCTTTTACATATTCTCGCAGAACCATACAAAATGAATCCTACACCTGAGTCTAAAATCCCTCCATGTACCACAGTATCACCCTAGATACATTCCGTAATAACTACCCAAGATGACTAGACAAAGCCGACAAGGTTTCTAGGACATCGAATTCAACTACAGTGGATGAGAAGTACTTTCTGGGAAATACAGATGAGCGAATCTATGACACTAGTCGTCTCAACATATGTATATGTGTAAGATCAGGCATTTATTGCTATCAAAATCTCAATGGTCCAATGATTATCATTTCTTGTCCCCTGAAAGACTTGTGGTTATGCATAGCAAATAACCACCCTTCTCTCTTGGAAGCTGTTTCGTGGAACGGCAATTTTGTAGTCATTCGAATTCAAATCAAATTGAATACAAACTATGGTCTATAACAATGCATAAGGATATATAAATAGTGATTGCATCATTTGAGTTTTAAAATGGCTTGTCCTTTTGCTGTTTAACTGCACTAAGTTGTTGGCACGAACATACCTGTACGGTGGAAATAGCGCTCAAGTTGTTTCTGAGTTTGAAGCAGACCAGATTATTGTCTGATTTTATTCACGTGGATATGTTCTTTTTATTTCACGGTATCAAAGAGTGAATTTTCCAGAAGGGAAAATCAATTTCTTCATGAACTGAACTCACTAGACGGTATACGGAACTGTATTTTGTCACTTCTAGCCGCGTTATTCAATTTGGGGATATAATTCTCTGTGCTGTCACTCATCGTTCTTCCATTTGAGTTACTAAGTGGTTGCTGTTTGTCTATTAATTTAGGCTCCTTCCCATTTTGGGAAAATGCAACTAATGAACCTAGAATCCGCCCAAAATTTTTGGGAGTTGTGATTTTCCCTTAATGAGGCGTCGCTGCATTGCAAAGTTCACAAAAGTAAAGTATATTTAGCTTGAGAAATTATGAAATTCCGAAGAATTTATCAGTTAGGAATTGTGGACGCATAATAAAAGTCAATTATCAGTTCATAAAAGTTTTCAGGGTGAGGCTATTATTTATGGACGACCTTTGGGCGACGCTAAAATAGCCTTGAGGATGTCCACCTACTGACTGACTCAATAAAGGTTTTAAACCATTCTTGAAGGATAAGGATTGTAATTTGCAGTTGGTGGTTAGGGATAGTGATTAGATTGAGGGTTTTCACCACGAACTGACATCAGTTAAAATGTTAAGACGCTATTTAGCCAAATGTATAGCTTCGCGCCGAAATCCAAGACCTGTTATCGTAAATCGGATTGGTTCGTCCATAAATTATAGTCTCGCCGTTTTCAGTTATGCAATTCTACTGTTGTAGATTTTACAGGACTAGTGATTTTCTTTCTATAGTCATGAACAGTCCACTGGGAATTATTTGCCTGGTCGATTTGTCGTAACACTGTCAGGACTGGTCTGCACCATCACCCAGATTGGCTATACATCATGAATGAGCGTTAGATACGCCATGTTTCTTGGGTCTCACCAGTCCTGGTAAGGGATTGGTTTCCGATTAAATATCAAGGGGTTTACACGACAGGAATATGGCTGTGGAACATGGTCGACAAGAGTTAAACACAGACGTAGCGTTCGTGCTTCTCATGTTGAGCGTCTCGAAAGCACTGTTCAGGTGTTACAGAACGACCAGGTAAGCAACGCTGTAGACCACCTAGTTGGCATCCGCACAATAATGCCAAACACTGGTTATAGATGATGAGTGATATGGTTCAGACGCAGGTGTTGTATGCTAGTGTTTCTCCACACACCTCTTCACCGATTTTTTTAAAACCACAATCTCAATGTTTATTATGACTAGACCATTGAGGAAAAGACAAAGTAGGGCTACAACACTGTGTGCATAGAAATAGCGATATGTTTTAGAATCCTCATCCATAAGTATTCCTATTATTCAGTGAATTAGTAATGGTGTGGTTTGCTTTAAAGTCCGCATTTTACAAAAAGCATTTTAATTAACGAACTATGAATCTGTTCGTCCTGGTTTATTTCACACTGCGAAATGTGACCATTAACGGTAGAGGATACTCGTAAGTTACTAGTACTTGATCACAGATGTCTTGGAAACATTGCTCGAATCACCGGGTAAGTTATAGTGAGGCTAGACGCAGAGGATGATGGTAAGTCAGTTGATGAGGCTGTGAATCTTCATTGACTGAGATGATCGGGCCACGTATTACGCATGTTCAACCACCGATTACTACGGCACGCAATGCTGACCAGTGTTGGGTGCGGACGGAACAAAGTTAAGGGCGGCTAAACCGAAACGTGGCATCAGTCTTTGAAGTCACTAACTTCTGGTCTGAGCCATGTTGGTAGATGCAGATTACTTGGTCGGGGTCCGCGCGACTATCGTAAGCAGTATATATATATATATATATATATATATATATATATATATATAAGCATTGAAGTTACTGCTTCATCTTGTTCATCTTGTGTTCATCTTGTTGTGCTAATGAGGTATGGCAACTTGGACTGATGTATATATTTAATTATTTATTTTAACACATAGATATTGGTACAAGAAGGCACCAAATAGATATGCACCACATAAATCATTCGATTTGTGTGAGAGCTGGGATACTGCCCGGGTGCCCAAACAGAAGCAGGTGGTTTTCTTAGCGGGCCATACCTGGAGCCTTTGACCTAGAGGTCTTACCCACAAGGCAGTGGAGCATCGTAAGGAGATGCAGTCCCATGGTAGCCGGTGACCAACGATTGGTTCATACGCCATTTTTTCCCGCAGGATACTGGAGCCCATGTGCACCATCAGTTTGGGATCCGGTTAAAGCGCCGGACATTCGCTTTTCGTCCTCTCATTTTTGTAAATAACACCCCCGTCACGAGAAGGCAGTGAGTAGGACTTCCCTGGCAGAGGCTATATACGCGTGGCCATGTGAGAGCATTTCGAGAGGGAGAGCGGACTTTCCCCACTCTCGGCCGTACCAGGGCATTTGGGGGCGATGTATATATGTGACTGGTCCTACCGACTGACCGTTATGAGCATTATCCTTTTTCACCGATTCGGAATCATTTTCCCGCTAGTTATATCTTGGGTGAAAATATAAGTCTTATTATGAGGCTCTTTATGTGATGTAATAGAAAGTCATTTGCTTTTAAATGAGCCTGAAATTCGCTCTCTGGACTCCAGTCGCTTTGGGTCTACACTACAGTGATACCTGTTATCTCCTGTCTTTTGAGATTGCTGTCTTGGCTGAATGAGTTACTGGTTCCGAAGTTATTTTTCCCTTCATGTATTTATCGTAAAGTCACCAATTACAAACTTTTAGAAGCTTAAGGCTCGGTCTTGTGTTTGACATTCAACCATTTCCATTTTGATACTGTTTCGAGTCGTTTAATAGCTCCTCGGTAGCTCGCGCATTTTACTATTGCTATCATCAACCATCTTGTTACTTGGCATTCTCATTTCCTCATTGTTATGTCGGTAATCGTCTTAATATTATGCAAATGGGATTTATGGAGAGAAGAATGGACATACACAAATGTACTTAAATATACGTACAGACCCCTGTATATTCTCCCTTTAACGCGAAAGATATGGAAACCGAGGGATTCCTATACGTGTTATAGAGTCATCAACTTACACTAAGTAACTTTTTTTCCACGTTTCTCACTCCTCCCTTCTCTAAAGTAAACTATCACCATCAAATGTGCGCAAACGTTTCATTAAAGTCTACCTTACTAAAGAGCTTGCACTTTGCTTGATTTAACGTGCATTCAAGTCTATGAAATTGAACTGTTTGTTGACTGCGTATTCAGATTCATTCAGCTAAGTCATAAATCCAGCATTATGTTGTTTATATATCCGTACATGGAAATATATCGAATTGACGTTATGTTTACTGTCGACATGCCTTATCCCAGAAATATCTTAGCTGTAGTGGCGTTTTCTTTGTGAAATATTTTTGTTTGATATAAATTTAGAAAACGGACTAAGCTGGATAAAGCCTTAGCAATTTATTGGTTAGTCCTTTCATATAACGTCCACTAGGATTAAAGGTTCACAAACAGAATGATCAAAAGGTAAGGTTTTCAAGCGAAAGAACAGTGATTTCATTTACTTTATAATCACTGTTTTTGCTTGAGATAAGTCCTGAGGAATATAGCATAAGTTTAAGTGAATCAAGCATTTGTAAAAGGAAAGATAACTGTCCAAAAGTGTTTTTTGGGTATATTCAAATAACTGTGGGGAATAATGAGTTGTTCGCATCAGATGATGAAAAACGTTGTTCTTAGCAGTTACTTCTTCAAACTTATTAATAAAATCATTCCGTTGAAACTGATAATTGTAACGTTTCATCTAGAAAGTAATATGCGGAGATCTGCAGCACCAAGTCGTACTAGTCAGTCTCAAGATCTGTCGATAAATTCCAACCTCGTAAAGACGGCTGAGTACAAGTCAGTTTCACACTGTTCCTCAAGTCCTAAAATGAACAATACGCCTACAAATTTTAATTTGTCTCATGCTACGAAATGTTCCAGGTATTTCGAGGCTGTATATGCTAAAGCATCGACTAAAAAGGTATGGCGAATATCGTTTACCAGTTTTGCTTGCATTTTAGCATAAAAAATGGGAAGGAGATGGTAAGCAGTCACCAGTCTTGTTTATCTCTACGTAATTTTTAGGTTTTGTAGAGGTTGAAGGTCGAATCATAAAGCTTATCAATGAAGATTTGAAAGTGTAAGTGCTACTTTTTTAATGAAGGTAAATTTACCGGTTATTTTCCAACTATAGAATAGCATCTGCTTCTGGTCATAAATTAGCTTTTTTAAATGAAATTGATATTGGTTCGGTTGTTCATATTGGGTCTTATGAAGCAGAGCTTATTTCACTGATAGAGAAGCCACAGTTAATTAATCTTTCCTCAAAATCAAATGATGGCACTGAGGCGTTACATGCACCGGGTAACTAGTCTATTGTATTGTATTTATTTTGTCCCTATTTCCAGCAAAAATTTCGACAAGCAAACCAAGCACAAATCTCAGTTTCTCACCAAAGGTACCGTTTACATAATATCTATTTCCGGAATAATTTTTATTTGAGTCCATTTTAACCTCAATCCTTTAATCTCTTAAAACCTTTTAAGGATAATAGTCTTTCGTATTTGATTCCCTTAAGATCAACCTAGGAGACTAATAAATGATAACACTGACGTTTCGTTCTAAAATACAGAAGTTGAAGGTACATCTGCAGTTGTATAAACTAATTTTTCTGCCTTAAAACCTTAATTTGACGGATGGAGTTGCTGAGATCATCTAAACAAGGAAAATAACTTCAAGATATTACAAGAGAATTATTCGATAAACTTAAATACTAAGAGACATTGACATACGTTTACAAAGTGTTATGTTGTCTGGGATTGCATGTGGGCATTAGTTACTCACTAGTCATTTCTTTGTGTAAGTTCTTGTGACAGATTGCCGTATACTTACGTCTATCCGTTGATAAATCGTACTGTCCCATTTCAATTTAGATTTTCAAACAAAACAGAAAAACCGGTCGGATTCTGAATGGCATCTAGAATGAATGAGTCAAATGCTAATTTTCATAATAAACACATTTCAAAGTGGTTTGTTTTCCTGTTTTTGCTGCATCAAATTTGTTTCATTCCACCGTCTAGTTTCAGTCGTTAAGAAAATTTACCTTCTCTGTTTAAGGGAATATTGAATTAGAAAATAATTTGAGCCCGATAAACTTGAAGAAAAATATTTGGGGCAGAGATTGGTCGACTTTCATCATGAATATTAACGTTTCTTATCAAGTTTCATTTCTAATTACTGGAAACTAGTGTATTAATTATGATTCTTCTCATATTTACATAGTATTATTATCACAGGAAAAAGCCTGGTATGATAGGAGATCGAGAAATTTCCCACAAAATGTGAGCTAACAATATTGTAGTTGAAAAGGACGTGAAAACTTAAAACTAGTCAGTAAAGAAATAAATGCAACAAAATAAATGTTTATTAAACAATACTGATATATTCTTAACGCAGCAAAGTTATATTTCACCTCATATAAATGCTTCCTCAATAACATTTCCTCTAAACGAATTGAAGGCAGCCTTGATGTATAGACAGATAATTTTCGACATAGAATACATATGATAGTTTTCAAGGAATTGGCAGAAGTTGAATATTTGACCGACCAATCTATACCTAAACTAAGACCTGTTTGCAGAGTATTGCAGAAATGAATATTCTAGACACGACTGATAAATTTTAAACTGATGATTATTACATGCATTTGTAAGCTCTTTAAAAATGAATACAACAGCAGCAAACCGTGACTAGTACATAGCAGAGATGTGGATGTTTGTGAGTATTTAATGAACATAATATTGACTAGTGTCTGGTGATCAGTTTTTTAAATATACTAGTTCTGGATAATAAGGACTAGTTATCTCTTTTTTAGTAATGCAATTAAATTGTACGATTCTCACTTTGGCTTTTTGTCTTACTCATGTCTTACACATAATTAATTTTCTAGCATTGATTTATAAATTGCATGTATATTTCCATATTATATCTCACGTTGTGTACAACATAACCTCGATTTTGGTGTCTTGTAGACGAATTCCAAATCAAAACTGAATGAGTCCTGGGGTTCTTCAAACCATCTGGTTATGCCCAAGCCTCCTGCTAACTGCATTGTAAGAGTAGTAACTTAATTCTAAACCTTGTAATTTATTCACTTTTCTACTTATGACCGATCAAATGCAGGTCTTCATAATGTCAAACTATTATCTAATGTCACATGTTTTCAAGATTTTGATATAATTTAGTCTGATGGAAATTTAGGTATATGACTTATTATTTGTTTATTGAATTCTCAGTACATTTCGGATTCATTTTGTATTGGTTGTTTAAATCTTCCGATTGATGTTTAGGACTGAAATTGATCAGTCTCTCATTGGCTGAATTAAATGAATTAAAACTTCACCCCGTTGCACAAGGTAGTGGCTATCTGAACTCAGTAGCTAAATGGATAACGCGATGGTGATTGTAGAAAACGGTACTGGGTTCGAGTCTCCGTAGTGAACATTAACTTTGAGAGACATGTACACCCAGCTGACAAGTCCCAAACAGGACGAAACGTGCGTCCTAGATCCAGTGCTAGCCACCATCCATCTCTGCTTATAATTTCCTATCAGGTTTTGATCATTTTAACACAAGATTACTGCCTATTAAATCCATTCTTTTGAATAATAATGATGACAAGTATAATTCTCGTATTTGAAGTCAGACGAATAATGATACTTATCGACTGACTTTAAGCCTCGAAGCCCCTTGAAAGTCGTAGCTCAGTAAAAAAGTCTCTGTTGCGTCTGTTTACCGTCGCTATCAAGCCCCCAATCGATTGAAGCTAGGTTGGGTACCGGCTTAGTGGTTTAAATGTTAAACGCTTGGCACCAGAACTTAGTGTCATGCGTTCGATCTCTAGTGGTGGTCTCGTTATTTATTTATTTATTTATTTGGACACATGAATATTGGTACAAGGGAGCGCCAATATATATGCGCCACACAAAACAATGAAAATTCGAGAGGAATACAAAGAAAGAAAAAAAAACTAAGGAGCGCAACAAAAAAAGAGAGAACAATAACGAAGAGATTGGTGTAAGGTAATGTGCTAGTAATCAGGGAACGCAAAGGTACAATCGGAAGAAATCTTTCAGGTAAGGGAGACAGAACCACTTTTTATGAAGAAAGTAAAAGAAGGTTACAGCAGGATCGCCACTGGCTTCTATTCTGAGCCATATCTGATAACGTCTCTAGCCACTGTGTAGCACCATCTCTCAGACCCCAACCAGGGAGTCGTGAAGAACCAACACACGCCAGTCCTTTGCAGCTTTCTTTCATGCCACGACACCATGTCATGCACTGACCACCTCTCCGCTTCTTCCAACCAGTCCCAGAGTCGGCAAATAATGCACGGCGTGGAATTCTCTGAGACGACATTCGGAGAACGTGTCCAAGCCACCGAAGTCGATGTTTCAAGATGGTGACATCGATTGCATTATCATCTCTGTGACCGAACACACGATGCCGAACTTCTGCATTACTGACTTGGTGTTGCCACTGAATGTCAGCAATCCTTCGGAGACAGTGATGATCGAACACAGAGAGTCGTCAAACGTCCTCAACTCGGAGAGGCCGGGTTTCACAAGCATAGAGCAAAACTGCTCTCACCGACGCGTTGTAGATCCGACCTTTTACAGCCAGACTAACATCACGAAGGCGCCAAAGGTGGCCCAATTTGGCATAAGCCTCTCTGGCTTTCATTATACGTGCATTGATCTCATCACTCACACCACCACCATCATTTATGCAGCTACCCAGATACACGAACTTCTCGACTACTTCTATCTGCTCACCATGTAGAGTGAGTACAAGATTAGAATCCTGCCAGTATTGTAGAAGTACTTTGCACTTCGAAGGTGCAAAGCACATACCATACCTACGGACACTGATTGCCAACTGATTAAGTACGGATTGCATGCCTTGGGAATTATCGCACAGTAACACAATATCGTCCGCATACTCAAGGTCGAAAAGCCTTTCTCCAGGCAATAGATTCACACCGCTATTAATTACACCCATCAGGGCTGTTCCCAGAATGTCATCGATGGCAAAGTTGAAGAGGAATGGTGAGATTGGGCAACCCTGCCTAACCCCACTACTCGAATGGAACAATGGAGAAAGGTGGTTGTATGCCCTCACTCTGCCTGAAGTGTTTGTATATAGGGCTTTTAGGATGTTAATAAACTTCTCAGGCACACCCTTCTTCAATAGACAATACGAGAGAACAGCCCTGTCCAACGAATCGAAGGCAGCCCTGATGTCAAGAAACACTACGATTGTTGACCTTTGATAAGTATGGCGGTGTTCTAACATTTGGCGGAGGGTGAAGATATGATCAATACATCCTCGACCAGAACGAAAACCAGCCTGCTCCTCGCGAGTCAATCTTTCTCGGGTTTTGAACAACCTACGAAGTATGACGGAAGCCAATAGCTTGGACGCAATCGGAAGTAGACTTATCCCCCGATAGTTGTTACAGGAACGACGTGAACCCTTTTTAAAAATAGGGACAACTATCGACTCATTCCATGACGTTGATACACTCTCTAGTTCCCAAACCTTTGTAAACAACGTCGTCAATTCCCTAGTCAAAAAGTCACCACCATCTTTAAAAAGAGCCAGAGGTAAGTCATCTGGGCCAGGTGATTTGTATCGCTTCAAGAGTTGGAGTTCCTTGCGGACTTCCTCCTCGTTTGGTGGATCGGTCGTCACCGGCCATGGAGGGCAGGACAGTCTGACTGATGTTGCCGGAGCAGCAGGCCAGTTGAACTGCCCTTCGAAAAATTCTGCCCACCGTCAAAGACGTCGATGGATGTTAGTGATTGGCATCCCATCATCCTCGCAGATTGTTTCACTCACACCAGACTTCTTGCTGCCAGTGGCTCGGATGAGCTGGAAGAGCTTCCGGTAGTTATCAGATGCAGCTGCTGCTTCCAGCTCATTATCACGCTTCGACCACCAGGCTTCTCGGTCCTTACGCAAGCTTTGCCCGATTTCCTTACATAACATCCTTCGTTTATGGTCAAACGGTCACCCGGAGTAGACCGACGGGCTTCAATGAGTTGTAAGGAACCAGAAGAAACCCAGTGCTTAAAAGCGGGACGTTTCGCAAACCCACAACTGACTGTTCCCGCCATTTTCATGTCGTCATGCGATTGCAACCAATGCTCATCTATACTTTTCGGTGGAGTGGTAGCTAGCCTAGAGGCTAGCTCGGTTCGATACTTATTTGCAACAGAAGTTGCAACCAGTTTGCTAACATCAACCCGTTGGTGGCGGCCACTTCGTTGGCCACTAAAAAGTAAGGCAAGATTGGCGCAGACCAAAGCATGGTCAGAGTCCAGATAGGTACTCCAAAAGGAGCGGCAGTCTTTTACACAACCACGCCAGCGGTAGCTGATCGCGATGTGATCAATCTGAGTCCAGGCTTGGGATGCAGAGGGAGGACGCCAGGTGGCACATCGGCGATGACTGTGCCGAAAGTTAGTGCTAGCCAGAAACAGGTTGTGGTCTGTGCATAGTTGCAGTAGACGGTCCCCGTTATCTGACCTGCGACCAACGAGTCCCCATCGGCCACCTAAACGACTCTCTTCTGTGCCTAGACGCCCGACCTGAGCATTCAAGTCTCCGGCTAGTACTACAATATCTGTCGAACGCACTTTCTAGAGAAGAACAGATGATTGGTGGTAAAACTCATCCTTGATTGCATCCGGGCTGCAATCTGTCGGGGCATAGGCGGAGATGACGAAAAGACATAGTTTCTCACGCCGATTTCTTCTCACTTTGATGGAACTTTCTAATCTAACAGCACATAACCGACTGTTAATGGTGATCCAATCGACTAGTGCTGCCTCAGCTCTAGCGCTTAGTGCGACACCAACGCCTGCAAGACCAGACGAAGATGCCACAGGGTCCCCGGATAAGCGCACGTAAAACAAGCTTTTTGAAGTGACAGATGTAGAGCGAATTTGTAGTACTTCGCTAGAGTCTTGAATACGGGTCTCGGATAGACAACAAACATCAATATTAAGACTTTCCAAAGACATAGCCAGCCCTATCTGTTGACCAACCTGCATAAGTGTGCGAACGTTGAAGGCAGCCAGTTTGAATGGCGCACGTGGTTTCAGAAAAACTGCTTCAGTACTCATATTCGATGGTAACATACAACTTTCAACCGGACAGTGACTCGAGAACGTTTAGATACAGTCGAATTTCCACCAAAGCCGAGCCGCTGTATAAGTATGAAAGAGGGTGAATAATGTGGGAAATAATAATAATAATAATAATAACGACAATAATAGTAATAATAATAGTATTAATAATGACAATAATAGTAATGGTAATTATTTGAATCGATTGATTGTTTTTGTTTTTCGGAGCGATAAAAGTAGTTGCCAAAGACATAGAGTTCATCGTTTGTGTGTGGGCTGTGATACTGCCTGGGTGCCCAAACCGAAGCAGGTGGTTTTCTTAGGGGGCCACACCCCGAGCCTTTGACCTAAAGGTCTAACCCACAAGGCAGTGGAGCATCGTAAGGAGATGCGATCCCATGGTAGCCGGTGACCAAAGATTGGTTCATACGCCATTTGTTCCCGCAGGATACTGGAGCCCATGTGCACCATTGGTTTGTGATCCGGTTAAAGCGCCGGGCATTCGCTTTTCGTCCTCTCATTTTTGTAAACAACACCCCCGCCACGAGAAGGCAATGAGTAGGACTCCCCTGGCAGAGGCTGTATACGCGCGGCCGTGTGAGAGTATTTCGAGAGGGAGAGCGGACTCACCCCACTCTCGGCCGTACCAGGGCATTCGGGGGCTGTGGTCTCGTGGGTGAACCCTACTTAGGAGTTATATACTGGGAGGAAATAGCTATCCGATCTTTTGTTTTTAATAGCTGTCTAATTAAGATTAGTTCTTTTTGTAAATTATGAACAGTAGATGTTGAAATTCATTAAAATATATTAATAAAATTGATAACTGTCGCTTGATTTTGTTGTTAATTGTTCAAAGTGGTTAAAAAGAAACTTAGTTTCATTGCACTGTTAAAAATAGTTGTTAATTCGATTCCATATCATGATCAGAAAGCCAGACAAATAATTGATATACCTTTATACATACATTGCTCAATTGTATTTCGGTAAGAAGAGTATGAATATCAATTAATCAACTCATTCTTTTTTGTATAGACTTTTCAAAGGTTGATCTCTCGTTAGTTTACTTAGTCTAAATGATTAAATTAATTGTTTGCCATGGGTGCCTTTTAAGTTGTCTTTGTAGTGATATTAGACTCCTTAATGACATATATATTTGCTGAGCGTTTGACGTCGTCCACATCTCTTGCAACAAGTCGCAACAAATATCCATGTGAACTCTAAGGTCATGACCAAATATCATGCACAGGTTATCAGTAGCGAATAAAAAAATAATTCTATTACATAAAATCACAACAGCTAATATCAGTAGACTCTTTAAACTATAGAATAAATACTGATCGTAAATAAAATCGTTCTAATAAGCGTCATGTATCCTCATACATTCTACATTAGTGAAGTTTAAGATTAAAGTGGTTGTTTGTGAACTACAGCTCTATTAGTCAGTATATATATATATATATATATATATATATCCACTAATATGAGTAAATGTATTGAACAGAGCAGCCAGTAAACCAGTTGTTATATTAGCAGTAAAGACAGTGTCTATACAAAAAGTTTACTTTCATTGTTACTAATAGAGATTTAATATTCCCAGGTTCAGTGTTAATCGTTGACTTAGTAGTCTACTTTATCCAGAGATTAATTCGTCGTTTTATTTAAAAAATAATTTTAGTGGTCTCAGAATCCCGACAACCTTCCTATTGTGGATGTAGTTTTAGAGTCGAAGTTTGCTTCACGTCTACAGCCACATCAATGTGAAGGTATTATTTTCTTGTATAAATGTTTAATGGGATTTCAACCGTATGTTGCTTTAAATGAATCTGATGAACGAATTACTTATGGATGCATTTTAGCGTGAGTTTTAACTTTTTTGGTCTAAGTTTTGACCCCACGACAAAGACAAGCTTTATCTGTATTTTTGTACTGACATAAACATTTGTCGATCTTGTTCCATGCAGGAAAAATAACCTGTATTAGAGTATTAACATACTGTGCAGATCCATCATATTCTTGATAAATATTTCATACTAACTTAATCCCCTCAATGAAATATGTGTTCACTCATTATCCCCATTAAATTGGGATTGATAGAGTTCCTCAAGTATACATTAGTAAGCAAAAACCATAATAACAGGCAATACCCGTTGCGAAATTCGTATCTAGTGTTGCTCACCATCTGCATAAATACTCTCACAGCGTGTGAATTCATAAAAGTGACACAAATCTCAGCGAAAATATCAACAATCACTTTAATGGTCCATCAAATTGTTTTTCAAACCCATAGAACTACGTATTTTGAATTTTAACTATTGTTACTTAATATCACTATTGCATACACATAACAATCTCATCGTAAAAGTTATAAATGGGAACTTAACATTGTAGTACAATAAATCAATCCGCATAATTAGCCTCAACATAAAAAGTATAGTACCGTTTTATTGTACACAAATCAATGAGTGATTATTACTGATTTATATCTTTATTATTGCCTTATTCTATTAAGATTTTTTGGTCTGTAAGGTACTGCTCTACTGTATTTATAACACAGAATACATTTGGTAGTGTTTAATTAACTTGTATTAGACTATGTGAATGTATTTTCCTAACATTCTTAGGGCTATATTTATCCTGCTGTGCGCTACTTCTATCTTGACTACAACACATTACCTTCGTTTTTATATTCATTATGTAAATTAGAAGGTAACGTCATTCGTAATAAGTTTTTGTTAATTTATTAGGGATGAAATGGGTCTTGGTAAGACAGTTCAAGCTATTGCCACCATTTGGCTATTAATTAGACAAGGACCGTACGGAGGTAGACCGGTTATTCAACGTTGCCTTATTGTAACTCCAGGTACACTTGTTCAGGTAATTGGTCTATTTTTTTAAATACAACTTAATCTTACTAATTTTTTTGGCTTTTATCATATATTCTGCCTTTCCTCTCTTATTTACACCATGTTAGAATTGGCAAAAGGAATTCTCCAAATGGTTAGGTCGTGAACAGTTACCTGTGTATTGTGTAGATCAAAATCATTCTGTTAAAGTGAGTTTTTGCTTGATTATGTCCGACTATTCTGTTTTTCATTATTTGTAGAATAATTTGATAATTATTGAGAATCATGTAAACAGTATATGTAGAGCCAGTTGCTTAGCGGTTAAACAATCGGACTTTCAATAACTTATTTACATGTTTGATCCTTACTCTATCTACTTCGATTTGAGCAGCTGAGCAATATAATTAACACTCATGCTTAGTATGGTTCAAAAATCGAATACATGAACTGTAAATAAATTACTTAAACAGTTTGTATCTATATTTTTAATTTGATAACTTTGGTCTCTTTCTGGTCCTAAAGTCTCACGTTATGACAACGGGCCATTTTGTTTATATTTGACTGGAATGTCATCTGTAACGCATCCTAAAAGCAGTAATATTTTTACAACAACATAGAAAAATTCTTTATAACCATTTGTAATTTTTCGTTGTCGATATTCAGGATCAATCTCTTACCATATCTGCATCGTGAGTTTGAGTCTCAGTGTACATGTCAAAACCACGATGCAGGTGCGTTCAGCTGACGAGTCGCAAACTGGACAAAGCGCGCCTCCTGAATTTCGCTGCTAGTCAAAATCCATCTTCTTTATAAGGCTTGTGACAAAATCACTGTATCAAGGCGATTTGTATATATCATATCCACATATTCCAACAAGAATTGATCAAAATTTTGTTCTATGTATCAACAATGGGATAACTAAAACCTGTACTAATGGTAATATAAACAACAGTTTTTGTTAAATTTTTTCATTATTTTCCACCTTTCTTTATCGGCAACTGACTTTTTTGTCTTATTTCCCTCCTTCAGAAATACCTAACAATGTCCAATGATTCACCGCAGGTTATTCTTATGTCGTATGAAATGTTTCTACAGCATACTAGTGAAATCTATGAAATTTCCGACTTGGATATGGTTGTATGTGACGAAGGGCATAGATTAAAAAATTCCAATATCAATACAACTATGGTAGGTTGTTTGGATTTTGTTTATTGGTACACAGAATATGTAATATAACGATGGATCATTATATATGTATTTTAGTCGATAAATTATTCGTCAGTCTGTTATATCATAGGCTTGCTTGTGCAGACTACTAGCAATAAACACTAGATCACGCTACTTGATTACGTGATCCTCACAATCACTCAATGAAACGACCGTTCGATCATGTTCGGGTCTCAAACACGCGGTTGTTGATGCAGGTACAAAGCACTGAGTTAACAGAATGAAATTTACATTATAAAATATTCTTTTATGCTAAATGTACCGAGGCATATCTTCCTTTAATTATTGACCAATCAAAGATTACTCTAATCAAACATAACATCAAAGTGCTGTCAATTTTGGAGGAAATAGTCGGATAATTTAAAGTCGCTGGTGCATATTTTTTTAGTGTTGTGATATTTGTAAAATCCTCAATAGATTGCCCATCATTCTTCCATCGTCATCAATTTTTACTTTGTTGAAATATATTTTTATTCTATATTCCTGTATTTTATAATTTAGGCACTTTGTCGACTACGTGCACGTAGACGTTTGCTATTAACTGGGACTCCATTACAAAATCATTTGAATGAATTATGGTCATTGGCTAATTTCTGTGTACCAGGACGTTTAACTTCAAGTTTAGAAGAGTTTCGTCGTCAATTTGTTATACCACTATTAAATAGTCGTAACTTAGTACAAAATGTTAAAAACAATCTTAACAATGATGATGATTGTGATTCTTGGAGTTATACAAACTATGAGAATTGTGATGATTTAGAAAGTCCATCAGCCAAATTATTCCGACTATTGAACAGTTTCTTTTTAAGACGCACATGTGATGTCATTGCACCAAAACTAACTGATAAAAGTAAGTACTCCTAACTTTTAAAAAGTTCTATTTGTGTGTGATAACTCTGTAATTATATGCATATAAATTTAGTAGACATGAAACTCCCTGTTCGAGTCCTATTGAATTGTCGTGCATACTACTTGATGTATACCAAACCCAATATACAAGTAAAAACGCTTTAATAACTATGAAGGTTTAATTGCGAAGTGTATTTATAACGTACACGATTCACAGGAATATATACAAATATCCTTCTGGTTCAGAATTGGACACAGGGTGAAACCTTGTATAGGTGTATGGTTGACCTCTTTCCCTATAGCGTCGCTCGTCTATAACTTCTTACATACCGTTTGATAGCATATAAGCACAAGCGTGTGAAACGTCTATAAACATCTAAACTATCATCGTGTTCTTAAATTATTTCACGTTCCTTTTCTTGTTAAGTTACCTGAGCTAAAGTTCGAAGTTGATGTAAATTCTTCATAATTAATCACCCATATACAGCCATAAACATTCATCCACCTAATTTCCTATTATCACATCTGACTGCTAACACTACATTCTAGTATTTTTGTGCTATGATAAAAGTTCATTATTTAATCGTAGTAGTGAATTTAATTTTTTTGATCGGTTACTGATATATCTCTACTAGTTATTGTATAGGGATCATATCTACATATTATTAATGTGCTACAGATAATTATTAAGCATCTGTTATTGTGAATGAAAATTGAAAATTACAACAGTGTCACTGAAAAACTAATTAGTTCTCACTAATTTCTTTCATATGAAAAGTCATACCTGTTACCTATGGACGGATTAAAATGTCACAGATAAAGCCAAATTTCTTAGTCGAATGATATATAGAATGCGTGACTTGCACAGTTCACTACTAGATAAACTTTTTATTTGCCATTCACGATTGGATGTGTGAACATGGAGAAACGCTACTCAGACTACTCAATTGAGTTGAAACGCGACTCAATATCTATGGTACCAAAATATACAAGCAAGCATATAGACAGATACGTACGTTCATACACGCTCAAGTTCACATATGGGTGACGAAATGACTAGCATGATTGGGATCATTCATCTGTTCAAAAGTAAGGATAAATCGTGTAAGCGTGTAAAATGCTAGTCACTACAATATTCACCCTACATTTAACTGCTACACCCATTCTAAAAAATAATCAGGTGAAAAAGATAAGCAACATCTAAGTATTCATCTAGAGAGCCGATATAGTATCAGATATTGATCAAGTCAATTCCATTCGTGAGTAGTGCAGAATATTGAACAGTTGTAACTCAGACTGTTAAATTTATTTTTTCATAAATGAACCACCAAAGACTTCAATGCTTGCTTTAGATTAATAACTAATAATAGACGATTGCGTAATCCCCATTCTGTCGAATTTGTATGCTTTAAAATACAAGCTCGCGTTCATAAGATATACTACGTAAACTAACAATGAATGGAACGAAATTTTATATTATCTATGCTAGAAGCCAGACTGCTTGTTTTCACACGTAAAGATTACCTTTGTGATTTTTAATCTCATTCCAATTTCTTTTTTTCGTGCAACATCTTATAGTACTTAATAATATTCAGTAACGTAATTTATTCCTAATCATTTTTGAACACATTGCTCATATAATGTGATTGTTCCAAGTATTTACATGCATTTGTGACATTTAATTCATCCATTATTGTAATCATATCCTCTCAAGATTTGTTTGTTTGTAGAAAATTCCCATATTTAGTGTTGCGTAGTTCACCTTTCAATTTTTTCTGCCATTTTTGAATTGGATACATAGTGTCATTTAATTTATCATACGTTTTTGTAAATTGCTATTAAAAAGTCATTGTGAAAAGTATTTCCATTTCGGTCGTGCTTTGAAAATATAAAGGCTTTAGAAATGTCACAGTTTGAAGTCAATGTAAACTTTATTACTTATGTTCATTATTATTATTACTACCAATATCGTTTTTCTAGGCAATTCTTTTACTTTAGACTTAGTGACTTTTATATGTAACTCAATCGTTTCGTCGAAATCTTTAAGCGAATTCAACGGGTCTGAATAAGAAAGGAAGTGATATCACAACCAGGATATAATGTGCTTGATCAAATGACCTCGTCAGGTGCACACATAAAAAACGTACATCTAGGTACTGACTTGGTATAAAGTAACAATGAACATTCATTAGTTAAAAATAATTTTGTGCAATGAATGTACAATGAATGAAGTAAGGACAATTCCAGTTTATTAATATGAGGGCTTCGACTTTATGTCCCGTTGGTTCGGTGACTCAACAAGCGACTCACAACGTTCTAGATTCCAATTGAAGCCGGAACATGTTGGACATATTTTAGTCAAACCAATCAAATAGTGTCATTTGCTTTCACCAAAAAGTAGGTGGGTCTATTCATCCAACTACATCGCGTTATCTTATTTATAACCAACAAAATCTTGCTTCACCAAACGGGAAGATGAGCAACTTTAGAGAGACCGAAACGAAGACCTAGGGAAATTGTGTCCAGATAGTCGTCATCCCAAAGCTTAGATTTATAAAAACAACCCAATTCTTGAGTGTTTCAATGACAAGTTTTTCAAACGACTTACGATCATGAGATGTTGGATCATTGATTCTCTGAACAACTTCAGCGCGTTGTTTATTCGTTGTCTGACCATCTAATCGAAGAGATGGTTGTCCAGTGACTAGATTACATAATTTCTCCAAAAGATTAAGTGTCTGGAATATGGTAAATGTAAAAAAGTACAAGATTGATAAATTGACATATATTTTGAAGTATTGTTTTCCTAACATATATGTATGTTAAAAAGAAGCCGCGAGATCCAACAATGTTTATGCATGATCAATTAGCCGTAGGCTAGTATGAGACCTAGTACCAATTTGTGTCATTTGACAAGCCATATCAACACAGTGATATGCTAGAGTAGCAGGAGTAGGATGGCGTGATACTGTGAAATCTGGTCGTCTTAGATTTTATTCTTCGTATATTTATGGGTTCGCACTACTGAAGAGTCCTATGCGAATACAGAACAGCTACATAACTTTCAACCACTTGGTCTCATGTTGGAGTGCGTTTCATCTGTCTCAGTCGAGGAAACAAAATGTTATTATTATTGCTCATAGAAATAATATTATTCAAAGCTGTGTACATATACGTGTACTTGATTATTCATTTGTGTTAATGAATTTATCAATTATTCATAATGATTTAAATATCCCATCTGCTCTTTCTCGAATAAAGATACGTTGATTGGTCACTGAGTAGTGACATATTTCATATTTGTCTAGTCCTTTAGTCCCAACCGAATTCTGGCGATCAAGTTACAATTTGGCTACTATTTTCAGTGTCTGGACATCATGTTCACCATAATTTAATGTTAGATAGTTGGATATAGTCTGCAGGAAACCCCTGAGAGTTCAGCTACTTCTTGCTTACGTGTGGTAACTAGTACGAAACTGACGTTAAACAGGGTTTACTCTCGAATACTTCCAGCCATCTAACATGAATAGATATTTTTCTACTAACAGTCTGCTTATTTGGTTGTTTTCAACGTGCTTTATTCTCTATATATAGCTGAACATATTTTGTTTTGTCGTCCGAGTAAACTGCAAACCGATTTGGAAGCTATACTTACACAGTGGATGAATAATGAATTTAATTTAAGTCGATGTGAATCTCTTAAATTATTCTCACCCGATGATGATTATGAAGATTTTGTTAAATCTGTGGAAAGCGTATCGTCATCACGTTCAAAACACCATAGTTCCATTTTATCAATTATAACAGCATTTCGAAAACTTCACAATCATCCATATCTATTAAGAAATTATTTAATACAGTCGAATTCTACACAAAATCAATCAGTTGATCGTGTAAGTTGTTACTATTTCAAATGTTGAGCTTTTACAGAATAGCTTCTTGGTCGTAATTGTCTTAGTTATAATTGTCTGATATATGTAGTTACTTGAGCTTTATATTTTATTAAAAAGAAATGATATTTAGACGTATAATGATTCCATAACTTAAACATTCTGCTTCCAAATGTATTAAATCATAAGTTTACACAACTCGTTTCAATTAGATTATCTAGGTGATATTTCTAAATTTTGCATGAAAAGGTCTTGTTGTCTAATAAACGAATGTGTACCTAGTCATACTCTATTCATTTACTCCATTCTAAAATGTTACTTAAAAAACTGCCAATTGTCTTTATTCTGTATTTTTTAAATGCTCTCTGATGTTGAACTAAATGGTGCTATCATAATTTGAAGTTCTTCATCTTACGTATATATCACAGTCTCTTCCTAAGGCCTTGCTGAATCAATTTTGATGATCGTCTCATTAGTGGTTACATGACTGTTATGATATTGGGTTCCTCGTGAGGCCTGAATGTTCTGGACTTTGTCTCATATGAATTCCTGGGAAGTCACAAACGTAGGAAAAATAAATATTCTGCACATTCTGGTTTACGATTGTTTATCAGTGTATTTCAGTCCGTGTCGAAAACTACTTTTACATGTAACAAATCTATAAATCACCTAGATAGATAGAGTCACTTAATATTATATATTAGCACTGTAATACATCCCAATTAATTTGATTACATATTTATAGTTATACTTCGGAAGTCCTATCACGTACACACGAACAGATGCAGATGAAGACAGCCAGTGTAGCAGCAGTCTCTGCATCAGTAGGCATACACAAAGGGAAAACTGAGGTCCTCAAATTCAAAGCGGAGAACAGCAATCCAATCACACTTGATGGCGAAACTCTGGAAGATGTAGAGTCCTTCACATACCTGGAAAGCATCATCGATGAACAAGGAGGATCCGATGCAGACGTAAAGGCGAGGATCGGCAAAGCAAGGGTCGCATTCCTACAATTGAAGAACATATGGAACTCAAAACAACTTTCAACCAATATCAAAGTGAGAATCTTCAATACGAACGTCAAGGCAGTTCTACTGTATGGAGCTGAAACTTGGAGAACTACAACAACCACAATCAAGAAAGTACAAGTATTTATAAATAGCTGTCTACGCAAGATACTCAACATCCATTGGCCGAATACCATCAGCAATAGCCTTCTGTGGGAGAGAACAAACCAACTTCCAGCTGAAGAAGAAATTAGGAAAAGACGATGGAAATGGATAGGACATACATTACGGAAATCATCAAACTGCATCACGAGGCAAGCTCCAACTTGGAATCCTGAAGGGAAGAGAAAAAGAGGAAGGCCAAAGAACACATTGCGTCGGATAATAGAAGCAGATATGAAAGCGATGAATTACAACTGGACGGAGCTAGAAAGGATTGCCCAGGACAGGGTTGGATGGAGAATGCTGGTGAGCGGCCTATGCTCCTTCACGAGGAGTAACAGGCGTAAGTAAGTAAGTAACTTCGGAAGTCAATTCGCTTCATTCTTAACACTGTAGGGCATCCGCAACTCCTCAACTTTTTAAAAATCATTTCGGTAAACTTGAGAAATTAGTATTACAACGTAACTTGATACCTTGTTGCATCAGTTCTCTTACCTAGAATCCATACACATAAAGTTACAAAAATGAGTAACATAAAAAGTTAGATATAGGTTATGACAGTAGCCTAGATTTTAGGCCATGTTATCTAACATGTTCAATCACAGTGGTCCTTTATATCTTAAAACTGTTCAGCCTTTTGTATGATTTACACTTGTAATAAGTAACTCCTTACGGCCATTTGTTATTTCCACTTTTTCATGCATTTCAGTTAACATTATTAATCGTATTAGTTAGTAACTGAATTCATAACAACGAATGTCTTGAAAACACACATATACCGTTTGATACATACTCGAAACTCTTTTAATTGTTTTTTCTCATGTTTATCACGGTAGCTTGCATTTGATCTTAGTATTACTTACTTATATCTTGACGACATGAAATATTTATCCTTCAAGCAACCTTCAATCAAATATTTCAAACCTCTTATAAACAATATGGCAAATCATTCCCTGTTTTATAGCCAGGTGGTTGTTTCACCTGTCGTTTAAAAGTGTTAGCAGGTTTTTGAGTTTTCTCAGCATGTTTTTTAAAAAATCACTCCAAACTAAGTGTTCGAATAATCAACAAAATTGTCAGTCCTGCAAGCAGTGGTCTTTTGGAGAATAGAATCTGACAATCCTCCATACCATGTAAGTAAGTACACAGTTTCCTCCAAATATTTACATCGAATAAAATTATTTAAACTGATTCCTTTAGTTGTGTACATTTCATCATTTTTCCCCTTCGCACACAGCTACCTACAAAACTGACTGCAGATTTGCTCCGTTTGTTGAATTCTGAACATTCAATAGTGGCACAAGATCTCTGTTTTACAAATCTAAATGAATTTATTCAATTATCTGGAAAGTTCCACGTTCTTTATATCATGCTGAGACGACTGTTTGACAAACAACTGTCATCTTCGTCCACAGTGAATTTCCAGAAAAAATCGCGACTATCCAACAGTAATAGTAAAAATAGTTTACATATTAATGATCGTCTTGTATTAGTTTCCAATTTTACTCAGGTGAGTATTATGACTTGATTACTATAAACGTTGTTATACTATTCTCTCTATCAATTTATATTTTTTTTATTTATTTGAAAACATAAATATTGGTACAAGTTTTCGAAATGCTGTTATAATTGATAAAATGGAACTATGGTGTTTTGAACGTGATGACGATACGCTTTCCACAGATTTAACAAAATCTTCATAATCATCATCGGGTGAGAATAATTTAAGAGATTCACATCGACTTAAATTAAATTCATTATTCATCCACTGTGTAAGTATAGCTTCCAAATCGGTTTGCAGTTTACTCGGACGACAAAACAAAATATGTTCAGCTATATATAGAGAATAAAGCACGTTGAAAACAACCAAATAAGCAGACTGTTAGTAGAAAAATATCTATTCATGTTAGATGGCTGGAAGTATTCGAGAGTAAACCCTGTTTAACGTCAGTTTCGTACTAGTTACCACACGTAAGCAAGAAGTAGCTGAACTCTCAGGGGTTTCCTGCAGACTATATCCAACTATCTAACATTAAATTATGGTGAACATGATGTCCAGACACTGAAAATAGTAGCCAAATTGTAACTTGATCGCCAGAATTCGGTTGGGACTAAAGGACTAGACAAATATGAAATATGTCACTACTCAGTGACCAATCAACGTATCTTTATTCGAGAAAGAGCAGATGGGATATTTCAATCATTATGAATAATTGATAAATCCATTAACACAAATGAATAATCAAGTACACGTATATGTAGACAGCTTTGAATAATATTATTTCTATGAGCAATAATAATAACATTTTGTTTCCTCGACTGAGACAGATGAAACGCACTCCAACATGAGACCAAGTGGTTGAAAGTTATGTAGCTGTTCTGTATTCGCATAGGACTCTTCAGTAGTGCGAACCCATAAATATACGAAGAATAAAATCTAAGACGACCAGATTTCACAGTATCACGCCATCCTACTCCTGCTACTCTAGCATATCACTGTGTTGATATGGCTTGTCAAATGACACAAATTGGTACTAGGTCTCATACTAGCCTACGGCTAATTGATCATGCATAAACATTGTTGGATCTCGCGGCTTCTTTTTAACATACATATATGTTAGGAAAACAATACTTCAAAATATATGTCAATTTATCAATCTTGTACTTTTTTACATTTACCATATTCCAGACACTTAATCTTTTGGAGAAATTATGTAATCTAGTCACTGGACAACCATCTCTTCGATTAGATGGTCAGACAACGAATAAACAACGCGCTGAAGTTGTTCAGAGAATCAATGATCCAACATCTCATGATCGTAAGTCGTTTGAAAAACTTGTCATTGAAACACTCAAGAATTGGGTTGTTTTTATAAATCTAAGCTTTGGGATGACGACTATCTGGACACAATTTCCCTAGGTCTTCGTTTCGGTCTCTCTAAAGTTGCTCATCTTCCCGTTTGGTGAAGCAAGATTTTGTTGGTTATAAATAAGATAACGCGATGTAGTTGGATGAATAGACCCACCTACTTTTTGGTGAAAGCAAATGACACTATTTGATTGGTTTGACTAAAATATGTCCAACATGTTCCGGCTTCAATTGGAATCTAGAACGTTGTGAGTCGCTTGTTGAGTCACCGAACCAACGGGACATAAAGTCGAAGCCCTCATATTAATAAACTGGAATTGTCCTTACTTCATTCATTGTACATTCATTGCACAAAATTATTTTTAACTAATGAATGTTCATTGTTACTTTATACCAAGTCAGTACCTAGATGTACGTTTTTTATGTGTGCACCTGACGAGGTCATTTGATCAAGCACATTATATCCTGGTTGTGATATCACTTCCTTTCTTATTCAGACCCGTTGAATTCGCTTAAAGATTTCGACGAAACGATTGAGTTACATATAAAAGTCACTAAGTCTAAAGTAAAAGAATTGCCTAGAAAAACGATATTGGTAGTAATAATAATAATGAACATAAGTAATAAAGTTTACATTGACTTCAAACTGTGACATTTCTAAAGCCTTTATATTTTCAAAGCACGACCGAAATGGAAATACTTTTCACAATGACTTTTTAATAGCAATTTACAAAAACGTATGATAAATTAAATGACACTATGTATCCAATTCAAAAATGGCAGAAAAAATTGAAAGGTGAACTACGCAACACTAAATATGGGAATTTTCTACAAACAAACAAATCTTGAGAGGATATGATTACAATAATGGATGAATTAAATGTCACAAATGCATGTAAATACTTGGAACAATCACATTATATGAGCAATGTGTTCAAAAATGATTAGGAATAAATTACGTTACTGAATATTATTAAGTACTATAAGATGTTGCACGAAAAAAGAAATTGGAATGAGATTAAAAATCACAAAGGTAATCTTTACGTGTGAAAACAAGCAGTCTGGCTTCTAGCATAGATAATATAAAATTTCGTTCCATTCATTGTTAGTTTACGTAGTATATCTTATGAACGCGAGCTTGTATTTTAAAGCATACAAATTCGACAGAATGGGGATTACGCAATCGTCTATTATTAGTTATTAATCTAAAGCAAGCATTGAAGTCTTTGGTGGTTCATTTATGAAAAAATAAATTTAACAGTCTGAGTTACAACTGTTCAATATTCTGCACTACTCACGAATGGAATTGACTTGATCAATATCTGATACTATATCGGCTCTCTAGATGAATACTTAGATGTTGCTTATCTTTTTCACCTGATTATTTTTTAGAATGGGTGTAGCAGTTAAATGTAGGGTGAATATTGTAGTGACTAGCATTTTACACGCTTACACGATTTATCCTTACTTTTGAACAGATGAATGATCCCAATCATGCTAGTCATTTCGTCACCCATATGTGAACTTGAGCGTGTATGAACGTACGTATCTGTCTATATGCTTGCTTGTATATTTTGGTACCATAGATATTGAGTCGCGTTTCAACTCAATTGAGTAGTCTGAGTAGCGTTTCTCCATGTTCACACATCCAACCGTGAATTTTTACGCTTGAAATCAAGCGGTGTGACTTCTTTCTTAGTAAATATAAAACTTTGTTTCTGTTCCTTTTATTTGATCAATTATTCAGGTATATTACTGCTTAGTTCACGTGCAGGTGGAGTAGGTTTAAATTTAATTGGTGCCAATTACTTAATTTTGTTCGATATGGATTGGAATCCAGCAAATGATGCACAAGTAACTCTTTGTTTATTTTTCTGTCCTTATAATTCAACCTCACTCCCTAAAAGTCTGTTTATATAATTAGTTTTATTCAGCTTGAACATAAATTATTTTAGAATCATGTAACTTACTAAGAATGGGTTTATAGACTGACTTGAACCTTGTAAATCGAATTAGACGGAGAAGTGAACTGTTGAAAATTCATGGTCATTAGTCAAGTAAATTTACTGATTATACGTGGAATAAAATTTCCGTATTTTTTTAATATATTGAATAATACAATGAATGCAACAATCAGTCAGTTGGTTGGGGTGTTTATTGTGATTCAGTAAATATACTAATAAAGAATATAAAATGTCAACTGGATAAGGGATAGTTATCTTGAAAGCGATTTCAGAGGATCCATTTAATGATTAAGAAAGGGAAAACATTATGGAAACTTTTTTTGAACTCATAATCTTTATTTAGTTAGATGAATTCATATAACTTTCTCTGTATCTTGAAGCCAAATTTTCGATGCATAATTTAGGTTGAAGTAAATTTTTTGAATAGTTAGTAAAATAGTTTTTTTTATATTTATTTGGTGTCCAGTGTTTACTGGATGAATCTAGTTACGGATTCTTATTGTATTTATGTAGTCCATACTTACCTTTTGAGAGCGATTATCAATAATGCAATGATAGGTTTATACATAATTTCTTTCGATGTTATGTCCTCTAATTTAAGCTGAATGATTTAATTACGGGGCCTTCATTTTTATTCTGGACAACATCTTCAGTTTCTGCTCCGGATAGATATAAACTTTTCAGTTATTCTGTGTTTTATCAGTTTGTTTCAATGACTTTGTTTGTGATTGACTATCTTCAATAATTTTTATTGTCATCATTTGTCCTTGTGTTCACGTTGAATACCCTTGTTGGTTGACCTATGACCTTGTGAATGATCGATCCTTTTTGTGTTCCTTCATAGATTGGCTCTATATCAGTATGCACCGTTGATTATTTATTGATGTTAATCTCACACCCCTAGGAATTCTTTGACATCCTCGAAGTTTCTTTAATACAAAATGTGACGTTTCTCCAGTGGAATTCGTGTCTATAGTTGTCTGCACGCATTGATATCGGTAACTGTATATCATGTGGCTTAATCGCTAACCTGTGTTCATTCTCTCATAAATATGATTTTAATTAACCAACTACTAATTTTCAATATGTTGAATTTTCCAGTCATTTAGCTTATTTAACCAGATACATTTACTTAAACATTTCATATAAATTCAACGTAATATGCTTCCTACACTAATAAGTATCATAGTTTTTTCTAAAACTGTAATTCAGTATTAACCAATCATCTCAGATGACTAATCAAGATTTACATTTTCATCTATTGTCATGCCTTCTCCAAACTGTATTTGTTCATCTAAATTCATTCAATAAGTCTACATGTGGTTATCGTCATACATTAATCCGTTTTACTTACGAATATTAACAATAAATTCCTGAAAGATCCCAAATAAACGGATACTAAGTTGCCATATAATCTTTTCTTTTACTAAACTTCAGTTACTCAAATTTCTACATGTTAAACTCTTCTTTAATTTCAGGCTATGGCTCGTATTTGGCGTCCGGGACAAACTAGATCGGTTAATTTATACCGGTTAGTAACAGCAAGTGGTATGGAAGAACGTATATTTCAACGACAAGCAGCTAAATTAGCTTTAACCAGTCAAACATTAGTCAATACATCAATGTATAATGAAAATATTTTGGAATTTATTGAGACAAAAAAGAAACCTGATAAAAATCTTGGAATTCTTACTCGTGATGAATTGAAAGTTTGTTGATATTGATTATTTTTGAAATAGTGTTACTTGATGTTATTATCATGTTTTTTTTATCATTTAAGTTAGTTTATGGCTTTGAAGTTAGCCGTCTTTCAGTTTTATTACATAATTGATCTCCAAATGCTTGGGTTGAAAGATCCTGTACAGGATCTCAAATTTTTAAAATTTTTCCACCAATGAGATAGAATTTCCTGTTTCAGATTCCAGTTCATGATGCTGCTGCTTGGTTTCAATAGATCTCCTTAGATAACTTATTCTGTCGTTGGATTTATCTATATAAATCATTCAACTATTTTTTCCACTGTAGTTCAAGGATGCCTCAAAATGTAAATGAAGAGTCGTTTCTTCACTAGGTAACAATTTTTTGCAATATTTAGCTATTACTGGGGCTCAGTGGGTCTTATCGTACTATGATTTAGTAGGGGGAACCATTCATATTGTCTGTTTATTCATGTTCTTCTGTGCAGTCTGTTCTTATCATGTCATCAGCACAATCAGTCATGTCGATTACTTTGTTTAAATGTATGTTTCAGTGTTTTTCATAACTGAAGACAGATTCTCGTTGAATCAAGATCTTAGATTACTTAAAATCAGATGAGTGATTTTATACCTCATTCAACTGTAAACCATCTGGTCAGTCAGTCGTAAGCCACGAACATGTGTTAATTGTTGGTAGATTTAGTGCTATGATGGATTTTGGAGTTGTGTGATTTGTTTCAATTAAAATCATTGTAATTGAGAATCAAATGTAGATTCAATTTAAAATCCGTCGTCAGCTCTTGCCGTAAATCAACCATTTGAAATTATCATCTCAAATAAAATTATACCTAAACCCTATCCTTGTTTACTGACTATTTGTTTTTATCATGATTTAAAAACTGGTTAACGCCATTTTCTTATCTAAACAAAGCTACTTTGAGAAGAGAATGACATGTGTTATTCAAAGCATAAATTTGCTCATCTTTCTACGATCCATGTTATCTGGGATTATTTACTGTAACTGTATTTCACTACTAATTATTTGTAAGTAGTACAAAGTGTATTACAAAATATGGAGTAATACATATTTTCTCTTGTAACTTGTTTATTATTTCCTTTTCCTTTCAATGTTTAGGAATTATTTCTCCTTCCCAATACATCATCAGGGTCATGGACTCATGAACTTATTCAGTGTAATTGTAATCAGTCTCTAGAAAAGAAACCTTTCACCCCAAGTCCTTCTCTCTCATCATCATCAGACATTGAAAACTATGATTCTGCCGATGAAATTGTAGTGAAGAGTTTTATAGATTATTCTCATGAACTTGACGATAAAGAGAACAAAAAAGAAGAAATCGAATCATCAGGACACACTACTGGTATTATCAATGATGGGAATGAAGACGATGAATATTCCAATATTAGAATATTTCAATTAGGTTCTACAAATCCACTTATTACTGAGAGCTTGAAATCACCCAAATCCCAATTCACCTATTTGAAACAACAGTCAGCTTCAATGCCAACGACAACTCATAAGTTACCATCATCTGATTCACTTGGTTTTCTATTGAATTGGAAACATTCTTTTTCATCTGAACAAATAGATCAGTTGAATGATCGACTTTTAATAACACATCAATCGGACCCTATGAAATCCTTAATAAACTGTATATTTACACTAAATTCGAAAGCATCTTAAGTATTTAGTATTTTTTATCTTCATTATATCGATTAATTTTCTCACCTCTCTTTATGCCTTTCTTGGATAATGACTTGAGTGTATTCATAAACAGTCCTATTTATAATGGATACCGTTAAGTGCTGTTTGTGTATTGGGGAAGATGTTCATTAAAATACATGTTGTCCTTCAATGAATGAAAATGTGCCTATTGTTAGGTTTGTCGGGTCAAACGAAGTTTGAAGATTGTATTGGCTTTTCGGATTATTTATGTATGGAAAAATGCAACAAGCAATAATTAGTTTATGCTTAGCGTACACTAAAGATAATAAACTCGACAGTAACAATAACAAAATCTCAGCGCATATATGCATGAAAGTGATCGATTCACCACGTGTGAAATAACAAATGAGGATCAACCACATAAGGAAACAGTTTAATCGAAATAGTACGAAAAAAGAATTCATCTTAATTACTCATAGGTAATGTAGTTGTGCTACACAAGTTCCATAGGTGTTAAAGCGAGGATAATTCGATTCACTCAATGAAAAGTGCTCAAAAGTATAACAAAAAGGTACTGAAGCCTTTTTGTGATTTATTTATCGTTTTCTTTTGATCGTTACTTTTATGTGCTGGAACTTAACAGAAGGTGTCTACGGGATTTATACTGTTGATTGAACTGGCATTCGGGAGGAAAACCTGAACTTAAGCTTCATCCAAGTCGGCGGTTTTCAACAAAGCGTCCATTCAGTCTTAAAAGAATCAGATTTTTCTGTATGACTAGGGCGAAATCTGTCAAGTCAAGCAATCAGAGATGCTACTACTGCCGGGTTACTTATACTATTACCTAGGTTAATACCTGGTCGACAGAATCCTATTGATATGCAAGACTAGAGAAGCATAACACTCGCTACCTCTCACTATTCAGTCAATGTAGCTTTAAAATTGAGCTAAATAAACTTTATTTCTTCAGGGTGGTTGGAATATGCGTTCTCTGTGGTAACCAACTAATTCTAGATGGAACAGTCAATCCTCTAATAACATCAAGCAGCTAACGCTAGTAGGCTATCAATGAATAGTTTAACATAGTTTTCAAGTTCAACTAGTGAGATAGTCTGAGGTCATGATCATTTATAATTGTGTTCACGTTATATTTGCTGACGTTCGTTCATCAGTCTTCTTGTTAGATGATTCGACATAGTCGAACTATGTTAACCTGTATCACAGTAAGGTGGTAACTGCTAAGCTATTTGGTCTGTGACTGACATGTGGGAATAGGATTCATACAACTGATCGGTCTCTAAGTAGTGACCGATGTCACGTTTGCCTAAACCATATGTACTGGTTCGGTCTCCTCAAACGGATTCGAATCCCCCCAAAGGCAGCAGTTTCTTCAAGACTACAGGTACACCTTGCTGATAGATATACCAACCAGCACGAAACCTAGGTTCACAGTTTCCTGTCGAAAATCCTCACCCAATTAACATTTCAACGTAGTGCATTCAATGGCTAATCACTTAGAATAGTGGTCTTATTACAATTAGATCGATGGAATTCAATCAGCACTAATGGCTAGAAAAACCTAATATTGGCTCAACCAATTGTCAAATGAGCTACCACTTTTCGAGCATAATATAAAGCATATGATTTCGTAACAGATAACATAAGGGTACGTGCAAACTATAATTTGTCTAAAAATTCCTCTATTTAACCTCAGCAACCGCAGATTTCAATCTAGCAGATACAAAAAGCAATCCTTACAGATGCAAATGACTTTTTTTATCTTAATATCTTGTGGATGGACGGTTACATTCCTTCCTACTAAACGTTTTTGGCCCTTCTTGTTAACATACAATTAATTAGAAAAAATCAAAAAGCTCTCTATATATTTATCAGTTTTACTGCTCCTGTGGAGCTAGTCACATTCAACTGACAAATACTCAAGTACAATTTTTATATTTCTGAACATCATCCTTCATAATGAATCAACGAACTGGTTAGATCTCTAGCCTTTAAAATGGTATTATTCTGAGTTATTTATCTATACCTTCTCATTAAGTTTATTAATCTTTAAATTCTTTTATAAGTAGTTCTCATATTTAACATCTATATTTATCATAATTTTACTTACATTACATTCTCACATTAATACAAACACTTAAGTGAGAAGTTGTTATGTCTCGATGAGAATTATGAATGGTTACTTTTGGGATCCATTTCTGAACTAATACTACACATATATTTTTATTGTATAATTGTTAAACAAGTTAGCTATTCGTATTCGTGTTCCTCTTTTTCTAAGCTTTATTTTGACTTATGAACTGTTATTATACGATTTACCATTCTTGAGTTGTGCCTTGTCTATCAATTACCATCTACATTCACAGTCACTTTGGGCTAAGTCTTGTACAAATGTTATTTCCTATTTCATGGTGCGATTTGGTCTCCTTGGTTGGTCTATAAACCCAGTATGTTTGAAGTAAATGATTCATATCGCGGAGGCTGATATTGGTGTTCTGGACTTAACAGTTAAGACTAGGTGGGAATCAGGACCGATAAAGATTCCAGACTGCTCGTACTTGTTTCATGCATCATTGGTCCGGTCGATAATATACCGTTCTCTAATTCTTGGTATCATTACGTCATATATTAATAGGATACATGGCACAAGTTATAACAGAAGCAATTTTGAAAAATCAATTTAAACAGAATTTATTAAAATCCACTAAATTGTGCATATTTTTGACAATAATAGACATTTTTTCGTAATGTAAAACTTGTTTACTTTTTATTCATTTAAGTAGTATAATTCATATTTTATAAATAAACAATCTGATATTTTTTTCTAAATAATTCAAAATTTGAAATATCATTAAAATTATGATTTTTTGAATTTGATTTATATTTTTTCAAATTATACCAATCATATTTTGAATTAATATTAAGATTAGATGTGAATTTATTAATTTTTATTGTATTCGATTCATTACATTTATATTTATAAGTAGTATGATTAAACTGGGTATTAGTAATTAAAGAGGTTTGTGAATTCATTGTGTTGCCATATTCTACGAAAGAAGGTATTTTCTTTTGTTCATTACTATTATTAGTATTATCATTGCTGAGATCACCAGAGCTACAGTTTTTCTTGTGTAAATATTCCGACATTTCGACAACATCTTCATTGACTTTTTCATAATTCAGTGGTAAATCAGTAGTAGTTCTATGCACAGATTTAGCTTGATGACCAGAATTTTGGATAAATACTTTCTTCCCATAATTTATGAATGGAACGTTTGTACATTTTTTTGGAATTACATCATATAGATTACATAATGATAATCGTTTACAATAATTTATGATTGTAGTTAAATGTGTATAAAGATTTGATTTAAATTCTTTTATACCAAATAACAGAATAATAACTCTTATATATATTTCAATAAAATTTATAAAACGTAATGCAGACTCATATTTACTTAAATAAATTTCATAAGGTTTTAATAATTCCATAATATAACCGATAGTATTCAATAGTCCTTGATCTGTTTGATTTTGAAAATCATCTAATTCATGATTATGTACATTATTACGATTTGTTACTTTACCTGAAATTTAAAGTGAACATTAATGCGTTAAAATATAGATATATGTATATTTTAATAGTTGAGATCATGAGTCAATTGAAGCTAGACTACCATGAAAAACCGGGAAACACTAGACGGCCGTCTCGTCCTATTGTGGGACGACTCAGCAGTGCGCATCCATGATACCGCCTCGTGAGATTTCATCCAAGACCTATCAGTCTCGCGCGCGAACGTTGAACCTCTAGACCACTGGGCTGACTGGCATCCAACGATGTTAATATCTAACTTCAACTAATCCACAAAATTCAGCGAAACATCCACTACTGTCTTCAGTGAGTTACTATGTCATAACAGACACAGTTGAACTCCACTGGTCACTGTTTCTCACTAGAACTTCATGAAATATCCTTTGAAGTCAGTCACTAGTGAGCATATGTTGACTAATATTACTATAAAATCCATAAAACCCCTTCTGATATCTGTATTTATTTATAATAATTCGTGATCAAAGTGGATATATTGACTATTTAAAGGAATATATCTTTACAAACCAACGAATATACGTGGAAAATACAGTGATTAACAACCTTCTATTATATGTAAAGAAGATAATTTTATTGATTGAATAGTAATGAAAAAGACAAAATATTGTAGATGATTAATTAAAGCTGGTTTGACCTCATTATTTGAGTGGAGTTATTTTGATATAAAAAACGTACATTGGTTGATAAGAAATGAATCTTTGCATGAAATTTAGCAGATAATCTAAAATATATGAGATAGCTAAAGGACTTGTAGAAGTGTCAAATTTACACAATTACTTGGAAGATCTAGACAAGTTATTGAAATCTCTAAACTTCCTTGCATGATGATTATAAGAAACATGTGACTGCTGAATATTCGTTTTAGTGTAAAACTTTTGGTAATCTTATGTTTTCTTGAATTTCACACATTTTCAATTTTCCGAAATGTTTGTGGATATCTTGGAAATCCTTTTGATTCAGTCTCATGTTTCTTATAGTTTACATCAAGAACTGAACCTTTGCAAACATTGAGAATCAAGGAACAGTGGAAAGCTATTTCGTCTTAGTACGCTACATTTTAAAAGTGTTCATCCAAGATCCTACTGGAGACCAAACCAAAACGTTCAAATCTTTCATCGAGTGCTTAGCATTCAATCTATTGATGCAGCAACCAACGGGTTTTACTTATAATTTCAATTCATTGTCGGTATTACGCAATGATTTTCCAATTTCTTTTCATATTTTCTCCTGATATTAGTCTCCGGGTAATATATCTTTACTGGAAATATCTCTTAATTACAACAACTTCATCAGCCACAAACATGTGTCATAATTAGAATTTCAGTTAGGTACAAATCTAATAAATAATTACTGAATTTCTCAACACTGTATATTTAATCCCTATTGTTTA